GACGCCAGGATCCAGGATACTCAACGTCTATCTCCGAAGGAATCTGCTTCGAGGAATTCCTCGAGATGATGTCTGTGTTCTCTGAGCAGGCACCGCGGGATCTGAAAGTCTTTTACGCCTTTAAAATTTACGGTATGGACCACCAGGTGAACCAGACAGACGGATGGACGAACAGACGGACGGACGGACGGACGGACGAGCGAACCGTGAGAGAGCCTGGAGGTCGACCTCGCTGTACCTATAGTTCCGTGGGATGAGAAGTACATACGGCGTTCAGACACGACATCCATGATGCACGAGAATATTTGCACGGAACAACCGATCGATTTTGCCGACGTGCAGCGCGTCATAATTATACCCTCCTTCGAGCGAGACGTTTTTCTTTCACCATAAATTGCGTTTTTGTGTCTCGTTATAATTTTATTGCTTTTAATTTTCATAAATATTTTATGGATGAGCTCTTAAGTGAAGTAAAATGTATTTTAGATTTAGAGAAGAACAGCCTCGAGAAAATATTTGTTTTAAATATCAATTAAGTTTGCGTCTCTCGCTTTGATAATATTCTGATAATTGTTTTTATATTTTATCCTTGCGATCAATCTGTAATTTTTCATGAACAGATTTCGACGAGGACGGGGTGTTGGGTATAGGTGATTTGGAACGCACCTGTCGGCAGCTGACTCGAGGTGGGCTAAGTGCCGAAGAGATGACTACTGTGTGTCGAAAAGTTCTGGAAGAGAGCGACATAGACGGCGACGGGGCTCTGTCTTTTCTCGAGTTCGAGCACGTTGTAACTAGAGCCTCCGATTTCATGGCAACATTTCACATAAGAATATGAAGAATGAGCACTACATGAAATTATGTATAGAAGAAATGAATGTAGGTAAATAATATTTAAACAAATATATATTTATATAATTATCATCAAATTAAAAAAAAATAGAATTAATCCTCTATTGACCAAATTATTTATTAATTTATTACACAAACGTTCAATATTCAGTGAATAAATCAAGAATAAAATAAATAATAAATTTATACTTTTGTTCGAAAGATACAAAGTGTAGAGATAAATTTCTATTCTACAACCTTCAAAATCGATGAACGAAGAATTTAAAAAAAGACTAAACAAATAAAAAACTAATATATGATTTTAAAATTATATTAGACAGTAAAGGATTAACAAATGCTTAAGAAATAATTAGTTTGAAAATTATATTTTTTCCGTTTTATTCGAGTTTACTTCATATAATGTAATTAATATCTATTTGCTTATTCTTGTTCACTTTACCGGTAATTTAACTAGTAAGACCTTCCGGGTTGTGTTCACAGATTGCTACATCTTTGATCGAAAGTAAGATAAAATTGTAATAATATTAAATACTAGTCGCTACAATTTAATTACTATAGCAATTAAAAAATGTCATTTTCTATAGCAGCTTTCTTGTCAGGATTAAAGTCGATGCATCTTTAAAAATTTCTCATTTTCAATTATTTATAGCTTAAAAACCAGTAACGTTTTTAATATTAAAAAAGATTGATTCTTCCTCATCCGGCTTTGAGTACTTGTAGAAGAGCGGGACTTTTTTTTATACACCCTGTATATTTCATTGTACGCGTTGCGCAGATATATCTTCTTGTGCTCTCATAAGTTGCCCCTGTTGAGCAATAATGAGCGCGATGGTGGATAAGTAACCAGGCTATTCATTCTTGCTCCGGACAGGAGTCCCTCCCGGCGATGCGCGAGGAGTCTCACGAATGCGATTTCGCAATTTATACGGCGACGTAGGCATCGATTCTCCGCAAAATCAACGACAAACGGAAGCCGACGAGAGCGGAAGGGCGCGCGGCATAACACGTTGCATTTCACATTCCTCATTATTTCTATAGCGGCGCGTTTACACAATCGTATGTGCAGATTTATATACACATTTAGAACTATTTGAATGTTTCATGCATCGAATATATGCAATTCTTAGAATTATATTATATTTGATAGATTTATAGGATTCCGAATTTTTTTCAATAGCGAAATACTAATCATTACGTCCAACAAAACTTGTCGAGATAAATTAAATATTATTTTTATGCATACTATATTTTTAACGCTCGTTGTCGCGGTATCGCTCGAATAATAAAATACCACGCGTGCCAATATTTTCTGATAAATTACGATTAAACCATTAAATCGGTTTTTGTGCGATATATTTTATACGAACACGAGTTGTAACTCGTGTGAAAAATTTCATTTTGTAATATACATGACGCAAGCAAATCATAAATTTTACTACCCTAATTATTCTCTATTCGCTGCAATACGCAATTGTCTTCTTGTATTACATTTTTAATAAGAATATCCGTAAAAATCTATTCTCATTCGCGATTAGAATCGCTGAAAGAGAAAGAGAGAGAGAGAGAAAGCAAGTAAGAACTTAATTAAAGTCCCTGTAAAAACGGCATAATTATTGCGGATTGCTATTTCGAGTACATTGCCGATGCGTTTCTCTACGCACAATTGTGCTCGACGAAAATATTTTCGCAAAAATCTCATCATTCTACTTGCAGCTTCATTTTCAGCCCTTTCGAACGGCGCGCACGCACACGTAAGCGTCTTGCGTATCCGTCAGCACGTCCTGTCGTCCCTTTGGTACTTCTCCCCGTCCGACAGAAGCGTCCCTCACCCCGCCAGTCGGACCCTGGTAGCGCGGAGCCGTGGTCCGGTCGTCTTAAAAAGCGGTCGAAATCGGAGATACCGCCCTGTGGCACGGCCGGTTATAGTCGGCCGCGCGGTAACTAACCAAGTCTCGGGACCAAGGCCATCCGGTCACTTCCCGGCCCCTACCTGGGGCCCCTGCCGTCCCTCCGTCTCTCCCCGTCCACCCGGCGGGTCGCGGAGTGGCCCTCGAGGCCCCGCGAAGGCTCTTCCCGCCTCCCCCTTCCTGCCCCCCCCCCTCGACGCAGGTCCTCCGCCGTTCTCCGTCGAGGAAACCCGGCTCTCTCGAGAGGTTTCCCCTTCGTGCGGCCTGTAGCCAACCGCCTTCCACGCCGCGATGTCCGT